TGTGTGTGTGTTTCTAATAGTGCCAGATATGATTAACATGAAGACAGGAAAGCATATGAGACATAACAAGACAATAATTAACTAATAAAAAGTAAATAAATAAACTGGCAAAAGAAATACAGATCAGGGTAAGTCGTTAACAGGATGAACTGGAGTAGAGACTGAGATGAGATTTCACATTTAGATGTTCTTATTGTACTGTGCATGAGTAGGCATGTGTGATTGTGTGAGTGGAGACAGGTGTGCTGGAGTCAGAGCAAAGTCACAGCAGCTGGATCTCATCTCATTAATCGAGACCTCTGCACGTTCTCAGCCTGACTGTATCCTCTGAGCCAGTGTTTGCTATGCTTGAAGCCACTCACTTTTTTTTTGTCAGTTTGCTTGTTGTTTTATGTTTTCCCTTTCCTAACCTTGCCTCCTGTGCCCTGCAGTCCTGTCTGTCCTGACTCCAGTTCCCTCACCCTGTCAGCCTGCTTCCCTGCCTTGAATCCCTCCCCTACCCAGCTTTCAGCCTGAATCCTGAGTTTCCAGCCAACTCCTTAATTTTCCCAGGCATGCATTAACAATAAATGGCACTTTTCATATTAAATCTCTGTCTTCTTGAGTGTCTGCACTTTGGCTCACTAAACCAGCCCTAACAGTAAATGCAATTCACTCATCTTATGTTATTTATATACCTGTACTTTACTTACTGTGACATAAGATCATTTAAGATAATACTTTATTCATCCCGATGGGAAATTCACATTACAAGTATCTAGGTATACAATACAAAATACAAGTATTTGTAAGATTAATAAATAGAATAGGTCTGATACATAATAATCTAAAGTATGTTATATATGTACAGCTTACTGTATGTATATACATACACTATACTGTAATAATACAATGCTATGAAGTGTATATATAATAGAAATCCAACTGAGTAGGTAGGTTTTAATTCGTATGTAAGAGTTTTAGTCTGTTTTTTTTTTTTTTTTTACTTGATAAATAATTGTTCATACTGGCCATCAAAAAACACGAAATCTGCTGTGAACAGGGCTTTGTCCATATTCACCTTTGTTTGATGTCTTGTTGTTTGGGGCGGCTGTGGCTCAGAGGTAGAGCAAGTCGTCCACTAATTGGGTCATTGGTGGTTTGATCCCTGACTCCTCCCGCTGCATGTCAAAGTGTCTGAGCAAGATACTGAACCCCAAACTGCTCCTGATGCTTTGTCATTTGTGTGAGTGGGTGAATGTGACATGTAGTGTAGAAAGACTAGAAGCTATTTAAGTACAGCCCATTTATTAATCTATACTCCCCTCCAAAAGTATTGGAACAGTGAGGCCAGTTCCTTTATTTTTGCTGTAGACTGAAAACATTTGGGTTTGACATCAAAAGATGAACATGAGACAAGAGATCAACATTTCACCTTTTTCCCCCAGGTATTTACATCTGGATATGATACACAACCTAGAAGGTAGCACCTTTTGTTTGAACCCAAACATTTTTCATGTGAGCAAAAGTATTGGAACATGTGATTGACAGGTGTATTTAATTACATGGATTATTCAAACAACAAATAGCGCTGAATTTCTTTGCTCAGTTTCAGATTTGGGTTTTGCCTGTGCAGACTGCATTTATAGTTAGAGGTGTAACCAACATGAAAACCAGAGCTGTCTATGGGTGAAAAACAAGCAATCAACCAAGAGCCATTACACAATCATTGGCCATAGCCAGTACAACCATTTGGAATGTCCTGAAGAAGAAGGAAACCTCTGGTGTAGTTAATAATAGACGTCGAATGGGTAGACCAAGGAAAGAAGTGGTGATGACAGAAACATTGTGAGAGCTGTAAAGAAAGACCCTAAAACAACTGTTAGTGACATCAGCAAGAACCTCCAGAGGGCAGGAGTGAAGGTATCACAATCTACTGTTCGCACCAAAAGATGCAAACCACTCATTAGCAAGAAGAATAGGAAGGCCAGGCTGGAATTTGCCAAAAAGTACAGAGACGAGCCTCAAAGATTCTGGGACAAAGTTTTACGGACTGATGAGACAAAGATTATCCTTCACCAGAGTGATGGAAAGGCTAAAGTTTGGAGAGAGAAAGGATCTCTTCATGATCTCACACATACAAGCTCATCTGTGAAACACATTAATCTTCATTGATGATGTAACACATGATGGCAGCAGCAAAATGAACTCAGAAGTCTACAGAAACATTTTTGCCTGCCAATTTAAAGAAAGATGCAACCAAACTGATTGGGAGATCCTTCATCATGCAGCAAGATAATGACCCAAACACACTGCCAAAACAACAAAGGAGAAGACAAGAAGTGGAAGGTTTTATACTGGACAAGTCAATCTCCAGACTTAAACCCTATATAGCATGCATTTTACCTGCTAAAGAGGAGACTGTAGGGAGAAACCCCCCAAAACAAACAACAGCTGAAAGAGGCTGCAGTAAAAGCCTGGAAAAGCATCACAAAAGAAGAATGCAGACGTTTGGTGATGTCAGTGGGTCACAGGCTTGATGCAGTTCTTGCAAGCAAAGGATTTGCAACTAAATATTAAGTCTTATTCACTTGAATCTATTTTAAATCAGTTCCAATACTTCTGCTCAACTAAAAAAATGTTGTTCTGTTACAAATGCTACCTTCTAAGTTGTGTATCAGATCCAGATGTAAATACCTGGAAATAAAAGCTGAAATGTTGATCTCTTGTCTCATATTCATCTTTTGATGTCAACCCCAAATGTTTTTGGAGGGGAGTGTATGTCACATCAGCCAACACTTATCACAGACACTTTGATAGCCCTTTACACTATTTTATACCTGTACCGTGCAATTATACAGCCACATATACAAATAATTTTTTTACTCACTTTATTATACCCATACTTTGCATTCATAGCCCTATATGTATAGCCTATAATGTCTTTAAATTACACTGCTGTATATATCTGTTGTTCTCCTTATTTGTACACTGTGCCACTACCTCCTGCTGTGGCCTTTGCAATTTTCCATATCAATCACATCACATCTGTTTATAAACAGCTATATATAGTGTACATATTTACAATTCTTATTCTTATTTTTCGATTTCTAGTATGTCTTGTTTTTTTTTATTTAATGTGCATTTTTTCATGTATTATGCTATAGCAAGTGAATTTCCCCAGTGGAGTGCCTTTGAGATGAGTGCAGTTTCCTAATGCACTCTACAAAATAGTCATTAGGGGGCCCTATTGTACCACATATAGCCCCTGCCACTCTGCGCCCTGCTTTGCTAATTCTTAAAAAGGAACAATGAGCTCATATCTAAAGTCTTGATAATGCAGAACAAATGTTGCTTTCTGGCTGGGGAATGTGAGGAATCCTAACCTCATTCTGACTCTGCTCAATCTGAGAACTGCTCCGACAAAACATCCTCAGGGCCCTGATGGATGTGTGAGGGTTATTTTTTCTGTCTCATTAGTCTAGGCATCATGTCTGATGGCCTCACAC